CTCCTAACGTTTGAGAGAACTGCTTAGGGGAAGCCATGGCCACAGGAGTTGTGGGCCAGCATACTTGCCCCTTTTCTTTGTGGGGAGGCCCACTGAGCCTACTCGGATCTACCCGCCTGGGACGCTGCTGATTACTCCTGGCTGATGGAGGAAATCCTTGCCCGTTCAGGAGTAACAGCTGCTGTACAGCTGGAAGTACCAAGAGAACAGACCACCTAGAACCCAGCTGTATGATGGATACACCTTGCTTGGAAGTGGCTATGGCCTGAGGAGCACAGCTAAGAGTACATTTTGGAGATACTGGTAATCGACCAGTTCATGTGAAAATTACCATTAAATCTTCGTGTGCAGGTGGGCCTACAGTGAAACAATCACCTTGGTGGAAAGGCTAACAGCGAGAGAGTTGACCTGCCTACTTAAGAGAGCCCCCATGTGAAGCAGACCTCTGATGCCAACCTCAAGAATTCCAATTCCCAGATGCCTAGGGAGCCCTAAGTGGAAGAGAAGGGGTGCTGATAACCAGTCTGGAACACAGAATGGGAGTCGTTTGGGTGGAGGGGGCCCTGAGGAAAAACCCCTTACCCACCAGACAGGAAAAATTAGATATAGGTGTTACAGAGTTGGGGAGTGGGGCCACATAGTGGCTCAGTGCCCCAACCAGGAAGAGCCCATGCAGTGTTGTCTAGGAGATTGGAGTGACACATGTGCCCTGCTCAATCTGGTGGGGGTCGCAGTTACCCCCCACAATTATACCAGGCCAGTAAAAGTATATGAGGTAGCAACTATGGCACTCGTAGACCAGTGTTTCTTAAACTGTGTTCTGTGGCATGCCGCTTTGCCACAAGGCAATCGGAGGTGTGCTGCAGAGGACAACAGAATTCAAAATGATCTCCCTTAAAGGGGCAAGCGACTTTTTGTTTGTTTGTTTTTTTGCTCAGTAACTTTCCCCTGAGCCTTTTTCCCCCCCTCGATAACTTTCTCATCAACCCTTCACCACCTCCCACCCCCGAACTTTTTATTTTTGCTCAACAAAAAATCCTTGGTGTTCCTCATAAAAAAAAAATTGGTGTTCCTTGGTCTTAACAAGTTTAAGAAACACTGTTGTATACTCTGGAAGCACTATCACCCTGATTTCTGGCAAGTTAGTCAAGCCCGGCCAATTAGCACAGGCTAACTGGACAGCGGTGACTTGTGTCTACGGGACTGTTAATCACTGCCCCAGCATATCAGTGAAAATAGAAATCCAGGAGGACCACAATAAGGTAACCGTAGGGATTGTTCCCCAGCTCCTGTACCCTGTGTTTAAAGGGAGGGATTTTCCTGGGTTTGAAGGCCTACTCCCTCTGGAAAGGCAAGATGGAGAGAAGCTCACTGAGTTAGGGGAAACTAACTTTGTTTCTGGAGATGTCCCAGGAACTATTCCCCATCCCCAGTAGAGGCAAGAAGACCAAGAGGGAACGGAGGGTGGCCAAGGCCTTAGGTACCTGAATCTTGCAGCAGGCACAAAAGGCCTCCTGTGTAGGTCAACAGACCCAAGTTGCACAGGGAGAGAACCCAGAAATACAGGAGGGCCCCAAAACCAGTACCGATCCAGAGCCTCTAGTTTCATCTGAAACAGAAGGACCTGGGGAGTTAGTTCTACTAAGCCCCCCGGGAGGATGGCGTTTGACTGGGACCAAGTAGAACATCCCAGGTACGAGAGTGCCAGAAAGGAGGTGGCTGAGAGAGATGGGGCATTTGTTGCGGGAAAAACCCAAGGTCTGGGTCCTTATTTCATAATGAGAAGGGACCTCACATACCAGGTAATACCCCTGCAGGATCAAGAGGTACACCGACTTCTGGTAACCCAGAAGCACCAGAGGGCAATCCTGAGCTTTGCTCATAGTCACATTTTTAGGGGGGCACCTGCGAGTTGAGAAAACTCAAGCAAGAATTTTACACAGGTTCTTCTGACTGGGAGTCCACAATGATGTTCAGCGATATTGTGCCTCCTGCCCTGAGTGCCAGCTATACAGCCCTTTCCCCCCATCTAAGAGCCCCTTTGGTAGCCCTGCTGATCATCGAAATCTCCTTTGAGTGGATTGCCATGGACCTGCTGGGGCCTTTGGAAAAAACAGCCCAGGGCCACCAATATATATTAGTTATTTTGAATTATGCTCTCAGGTACCCCAAAGCTGTCCCCTTAAACACAGCTTCTAAAAATAGCATCAAAGAATTAGCAGCAGTCTTCTCTTGAGTGGGGTTACCCAAGAAGATACTCACCGATCAAGGGACCCCATTTATGTGCAGGGTGATGAAAGACCTCTGTGCCTTTCTCCTGCGGCCCTCTGTCTACCACTCTCACACCGATGGCTTGGTTGAAAGATTTAATCGGACCCTGAAGTCCATGATCAAGAAAGTGGTCAACAAAGACGGAAAGGATTGGGTCATGCCATTACCCTACCTTATGTTTGCCATCTGAGAGGTTCCCCAGGCCTTTTGTATGGCCGCCACCGTCGGATCATACTAGACATAGCCAAGGACATTTGGGAGGAGGAGCCAACCATGGGGAAACAATGTAGTAGAACATGTATTACAAAAGAGGGACCAAATCACATAGGTTTCCTATTGTGCAGAAACACATGGAGGGAAGCCCAACGAGCATATTATAATCGTCGAGCAAACGTTCAGCGGTTCCAGCCTGGAGACCAAGTAATGATACTAGTACCCATGGCAGAAAGTAAGCTGTTGGCCCAATGGCAAGGACCATATGAAATAATTGAACCTGTGTGTGGGCGGGGAGGGGATGAATTATAAGATATGTCTACTGGGATTCTAGAAGCAAATACAAATATATCACATTAACCACCTGAATCCCTGGCAAGCTCAAGAGGCCTGTATGGTAACCCATGGAAATCTGCCTCCGACACATGAATCTTCGGTACAGGTGCAGATATCCACTAACCCAGTGTTTCCCAATTGGTGCTCCGCGAAACCCTGGGGTTCCGCGGAGCACAACGAGGGGTTCTGCAAGGAGCCGGCGCTCCCCCGCCCCCTCTGAAAAAGAGAGAGAGAGAGCCGGCTAGCCAGCAGAGGTGTGGGCGGCGAGTTGTGTGGGCTTGTGGTGCCCATGCTCCTGCAATATTTGGAGCTGGAGTGGGTCCCGACCAGCCAGCATGGAGCTGGTCCCGACCCCGTGCGCGCACGTCCTCCCAGCCCGGCCCCAGAGCGTCTCTCCCCCAGACCTGTCCCTGCTGTGCGTGACCTTCCCTGAAGGTGAGCGCCGGCCCCGGGAGTGCTGCGGATTGGCTGCCCGCGCTCTGGGGGGAGGCGCTGGCCTCGGGCACGTGGCGCTTGGGGGGGGCGCCGGCCACGGGCTCGCGGCGCTTGGGGGGGGTGGCCCTGGGCTCACGGCAC